CCACACGTTTCGACAGTCTATCTGAACAGAACTGTGTCTAGACGTACTGCCTGTCTACTTAGTGTCTGTCTACATAATCGGCTGTATATTATAGACATTATAATTTCGTGATAACAAAACACCCCACAATATATTTTACACCAGATTTGAGAGCAACATTTGCTCATACATTTGTCTAAATTTGAAGGAAATTGGAGTGTTAGCGGAAAGGGAAAATTGATTTTCAAAAAATGTACCAAACTTAAAATTTTTTAACTTAAGGTTTTTCTTGTGATTTTCTCGATATTCAAGGCAGTATAATTCCGCGGTAACAAAAAGCCCCAAAATAATTTTTATATCAGCTTTTAGAGCAACAGTTTCTCTTTAAATCCCTAAATTTCAAGGAAATTGGAATTTTTCCGGATACGGAAAATTAATTTTCAAAAAGTGTACCAATTTAGAATTTTTTGGATCGCAAAATAAGGCGATTTTTACACGCTTGCCTTGACTTTGAAACATCATCTAAAAGATTACAAAATAGACTATCGTTGTTTATAAACATCTTATATACCCGTTTAAAAACCGAAAGTAAGGTTTCCTGAAGACGCGAACTGAGCAAAACGAAGTTTTCGAGAGGCTATGACTCAATATGTTTTTAGCTAATTTCACGAATCTTGGGTACATGTCAGGTATTGATAATTTTTCGACGTTTAAAATAATATTTCAGAAAACAAACCCCATCACGTTTCTGAATATACATTAGTGTATTACTGGACAAAATAAGAAAACATTTCATTTTTCATCATGTGCCACCTGTTGCTCGGTGATAGTGGAGATTCCCTCTTAACAATTTTCCTCAAATCAAAACAATTACATAATGTTCCTAATTTCATTTTGTTAAAGTCTCCAGCGATTATAATTCCAGCAGAAAGATAGCTTTGTAGAATAAAGTCGATTCCATTAATAAGATAATCAATCATAGTACGTTATCTCATTTATAGCCGCTTGACCTGGGGGATAATAGACTGCAACCATAACAATGCAACTGGAAGGCCTTGGAAGTCTTTGTGGTTTCAACAATAGCCACAGAGCCTCTTTGCATTCCTCTTCCATGTCAAACAAGCGGCTAGAAGGTACTGCAGTTTTAACATAAGTAATTAAACCGCCGCCAGGTGTTCCTCTATCTTTTCGGTACGGAGTATAGTTAGGTCCAATAGATATAACTCTATCGTTATACGTCTACGTGTTCCATGTAGACGGAGATTGTCGCAGCAGAGAGACCAAGAACCGAGTGCATCCACGTGACAAACAGCAGCAAGGACCATTCGTCTGCCGGAAGAGGAGACATGTGTGCTAAGCCACAGAAATGGGAAAACAGGCGATGACCAGCGGAGTAAGTACGACGGGTAGACGTGGACAGGCCTTGTGCAAGGAGGTCGTAACATTGGGAAATCATGGAGGAAGTAAACTGACGAGGAGCTTGTGTGGAATCGGTGAGGGTTCGTGGTCCATGTTGGGGGCGAGGCGGTGGAACTCCTGAAAGCGAAAACGGGACAAGGCGTCAGCAGCAGAATTGGACCGACTGGGGGTGTGACGGACCCAGAACGTGAAATTATTTAAACAAGCTACCCGTGTGAGGCTGCGAAGCAGATGCATGAGAGGAGGGGAGCGCGCCGTCCCTGCCGTGAGGGCATTCACCACTCTACGGTTGTCGCATAGGAATTGCACCTGTAGTCTTGACCAACTTGCCCCCCC